AAACTCGGGATAAACACATAAACAGCCCTGAAGAATTCCAGAAAAAATACAGAGAAAACGCAGAAAATTCCCAGAAAAAACTCAAATAACGGCCAAATTCGCAATTTTCTTTTTTCAGAGCACGAACATCCTTGCCTTCTTCCTGTCTGCAATGGTCACTATCATGATTCTGTTCTTCTTCCTGTCGATCGTCAACTCTCTTGCAAAGGACTACCACAAACGGCTGTGGGAACGAAAGAGGCGTCAAAATAAGGTGGAGTAGTTAGGTATCAAGACACACACACGGATTACACAGATTTTATTTTTTAATTAAATTTAATTAATTATCGATTTTTTCGCCCCCACAAAATGATTCTGAGAACGACGTTTTAACCAAATTTATTCAAAATTATTCAGGATTTGATAGACGAGGAGAATCAGAAGTTTGAAGAAGAAGAAGATGATTCATCAGAAGACGTGCCTCCTTCCATCACACCGTCCTCGTGTCCGCTACTGTTATCCGAGGAATTTGAAGGCGTTGTGGTTAAAAAATGATTATTTTTACTCAATTTCTTTTGCATGAGCACATCTTTTCGATCTCATTTTCAAGAAAAATCCTTAACTCTTCTTTTCCTCGGATAACCAAACAGCACGATTCCCAAGCACACCGGTGGTGGAGAAAGAGCACGTCTTCTGAGAGCTTCTATTCTGAATACTTTTAATTTTCCTACTTACTCTTTTTTTCGAACTTTCGTTTCCACTTTCCCCCAAAAATCCTTCCTCTATGAGGATGCTTTCTGTTGTGCAATTCACTTTATTTGCTCCCCAAATTTCCCCAACTTCCCCCTTCCCATTCTTGTGATTTGTTTTATTGTAATTTATAAGAATATTGTTCTTCTTCTCCTTTCAATTTTTGTGATGACCGGTAAATTATTTTTTTTTCTTTGATTTTTTTGCTTTTTTTGGGGCTAAGCCCCTCTAAACCCACCCGATGATTTCATATTTTTTCACCAAAAAACTAATAATTTTGGGTCCCACCATGACATCATTATCATCATGACAATTGGGACCCAAAACAAAACAAAGAAAAGAGCCTCCTGAAGAGAGGGGGGTCTTAAGTATGTATTATTTGTTTCGTTTTTCTTTTTTCATATCTACATAAGTTTCTTCCTTTGAGGGGGGTTTAAAATGCGCAAAAATCTCTGCGTCACTCATGCTATTTCGAGGATGGGTCCTCCATCAATGGATTAAAGGAGCACACACACGCTCCTCCCCCCAAAAACGAAAGGCACAGTAATCCCGGGGAAAAGGGGCGGAGCTTAAAAGAAGGGTAGAAAAGCTTAGAAAAGGTCTCATTCATTGTGACGACGCCTTTGATTTTTTGGTATTCCGACTGAGAGAGAGAGATTCTGAAATGTCGGCTTCTGAGGAGAGTGATGCTATGCTGGAGCATTTGATTGCTAAAGGTAAGTTCAGAGGAGGGGGGGGGGGATGCGTCTTTAAATTGGTGGTAATATCTATACCCTCTTTTGTAATTGAGACTGTTGAGTGCGTGGCGTAGTGGCTAACGCAACTGTTTTAGAAATTGTTGGGGGTGGGTTCGAATCCGGTGGGGGTCAAATTTTTTTTTGTTTTTTTTTCTAATGGATCTAGGGGAGGCATAAATCGGAATAGGGGATTGAAAAAAACGGAATTTGGTTGAAAAAGTGGCAAAATAACCAAATTTCTAGCGAAAAGCCAGGTGAACTAGATTTTTCAGTTAAGACCATCTTACTTTAAACACGTACCACGCAGTCAAAATTTTTTCTAATGCTCCAAACAATTTTGAGCGAATCAGGCATACCTCGAACTCCATTTTCGTAGTTGACAACTTTTTTGTGCAACCACTTTCCAGGCAGATAGAGCATGTTCAGTTAAGGGCTCCGGTGGTTTCTATGATACTCGTGTAGTACGAGCTCTATCTGCCGGGAAAGTGATTGTACAAAAAAGTTGTCAACTAGGAAAATGAAGTTCGAGCTATGCTAAATACACCCAAAGGTTTTTAGAGCCGTAGAACCATTCTTGGCTATACGGGCTCAAAGTCCGCTTTTAGAATCAGCTAACATTTTTCGAGCAGCTCTTCGAGTGCAAATGCGCCGGAGGCGCGTACTGATCTTAATATTTTTTCCCAAAAAATCCTAATTATTTCTGTTCGAAAACTGTTCCATTCCTCCTATCCAAACACCGTTTTTCGGCAAAAAAAGTCAAAAATTGTCAAAAATCGAAGTCAGATTGGGCTAATATTCTCTGGAAACAAAGTCAGATCAGAATGAGATTTCTCACCGTAAAGTTGATAATTCCACAACTATATTGGGCCAAACTAAGCCAAAAAACCCCACGAAACTGGCCAAAAATCACGAAAACAATCAAAAAATGGTCCCCAAAAATTCCAGAAATCCTTCCACAATCCGCCAACTGGGAGGGCACTGAGGAGTTCCTCAACCGTATCATCCAAGTCCTTCTGAAATACATCAAGGATCAAAATGATCGTGATCAAAAGATTCTGGAGTTCCATCATCCAGATAAAATGCAAATGTTGATCGATACGTCGATCCCTGAGAAGCCGGAGAATTTGTTGAAGTTGGTCAAGGTGCGTTTAGTAAAAACACTTTTTTTTGGAAAACAATTTTTTCATTTTTTTTTCATTTCCAAAAACACACCACATTTTTTTCTTTTCATCAAACCCCTCATTCATTTTTCTCATTTCGTGCCCTCGGGGCACAATAACACTTGAGACTCCTCGTCTAAAAAGGACACACACATTTTGCAGAGCTGTGAAGATGTGCTCCGTTTGGGTGTACGTACTGGACATCCGCGTTTCTTCAACCAAATCTCGTGTGGACTGGATTTGGTTTCGATGGCTGGCGAGTGGTTGACGGCAACGGCAAATACCAATATGTGGGTTGGAATTGAGGGGGAGGAGAATGAGGGGGAGGAGAAGGAGACTGGAAATTTTGAAAGGGTTATGGATAAGTTTAGGGAGATTGGAGATTAAAAAAAATAGTACCGGCAAGGACGTTCTGAATAGATTTGAACCGAATTGGCCCGAATCGGTCTGTTTTGCTGGTAACGGCTCTTTTGCTCGATTTGACAATTTTGTTCAGAGAAATGATCCGAATCTGATCGTTTGACTTTAACCGGTTCGTTTGGCCCGTTTCAGCACGTTTGCCCTGAATCGGACCGTTCAGCTGGTACCGGCTTCTTTTGCTCGATTAGGAAAGTTTGGTCAGAGAAATGGTCCGCATCTGACCGTTTGGCTGCAATCGGCCCATTTGGCCTGTTTCGGCACATTTAGACCAATTGGCCAGATTCAGGAAGTTTGGCCAAAATTGGTCACAATCGATACAATCGGCCTGATTTGGTCCATGTTGATCCGAACCACCCTTTTTGGCTGGTTAGGCACAATTTGACTTGAATCAAGCCAAACCGGGCCAAACAGGCTGAACCGGACCTAGTCAGGCTAAATTTCGCCTATCCACCGGACTAGAATTGATCAGTTCTGATACGGGAGAGCACCTTTTGTGGAACACCTTCTCTAAAAAAAAGACGGTCCACCAAACCTTTCTTGCATGGCTCACAGAAACTCGGGGCCTCTAACACCCTTTCAGATAACCAAAAACTGCTGAAACTTGGACTGAAAATCTGAAAACCGGGGCAAAAACTTTTCGAAAAAAAAAACTCAATTTGCTTACTATAACGATGTGTCTCTGAACCCCAAAACTCATTAAAGTTGTACAGCCATTATCTCAAAAAAAATGGGTGCTAAATGGGCTCTAGTTTCTAAGCTTTCTCGATTTTTCTTGGTCCTCATAAAGTCTAATTGACTACTGTAATGGCATTTTGAGTCCGGATTCTAAAATCCCAGAACAAAAAGGGACTACTGAAACCTAATGGGGGGGGGGGGAGTGTTAATGAGTTAGATGGGGGCTGAATGACTTTCTAAGGGGTAGAATAGGAATTCAGAGGGATTTCAAGTTGTTCAGCACATAAAATGGTACTGTAATGTGTTTTGGTGTCTAAAGAAGTGTCGAGTTTCTGATATTTTTCTCTTTTTATGTCTAAAAGACTACTGTAATGGCATTTTGGGCTTGTAAGAAAAAAAGGTCTAATGGGGGGTGTTAATGGGCTCTAGTTTTTGAGATTTCTCTACTTTTCGGGCGTTGTACAGCTCATAAACTGAAATGGGGTGTGTCAAAAGAAGTGTGAGCTTAATGGAGATTCTAATAGAGTTAGTTGTAATGGGAATCTTTAGAAAACCACAGAGAAAACCTCTAGAAATTTCAAAACCTTGAGAGCAGCTAGAATTATAGTCTTGAATGAGTCAACCTCAACTACCACAAAACATCATTAAACCAGAGGTCACTCTGGGTTCCCACGGCTTCTTAGGCGCCTAACTCTTCCCTCAGACAAACCAAAAGGGCATTGAAAAAAACATGACCAAGGACAACTTTTCAGGTTCACCTACGAAATCGCTCCGGTCTTCATTCTCATGGAGAAATCCGTCATGACCCGTATGTGGGAGGCCATCGGATGGGATCCCGAGAAGGCCGATGGAATCTTTGCGCCAGGAGGTGCTATTGCCAACTTGTACGCCATGAACGCCGCCCGTCATCAACTCTGGCCACGTAGCAAGCACCTGGGAATGAAGGATATTCCGACGTTGTGTTGTTTTACCAGTGAGGATGTGAGTTTGGGGTAGATAGGGATGTGGGCGTGGTTTACGCGGCCGTGACCACTAGGCCACCGTAACTTCCGAGCACCGTAGTAATGTAATTCAAAGGTTGCGGGCGCCATTTTGACAGCCTTGGGCAGGTTGCCGCGGCCTGAGACCATGGAAGGGCGTAGGTCCCCTCTACCCGGGCCGCTAGGTCCCCGTAACTTCATAGCACCGGAGTAACGGGATCCAAAGGTTGGGAGCCCCCACTCCCACAGCCTTAGACAGCCCTAGTGCTAACCTAACTTCAAAAAAAATTTCCAGAGCCACTACTCCATCAAAAGTGCCGCTGCAGTTCTGGGAATTGGTGCGGACTACTGCTTCAACATCCCAACTGACAAAGTTGGAAAAATGATCCCAGAAGCCCTGGAAGCCAAGATCATCGAGTGCAAGAAGGAGGGCCTCACCCCATTCTTTGCCTGCTGTACAGCCGGCTCTACTGTCTACGGAGCATTCGATCCGTTGGAGCGTGTCGCCGACATTTGCGAGCGTCATAAGCTCTGGTTCCACGTGGACGCCGCTTGGGGTGGAGGAATGCTCCTATCCCCGGAGCATCGTTACAAGCTGGCTGGAGTCGAACGTGCTAACTCGGTTACCTGGAATCCACACAAGTTGATGGGAGCACTCCTTCAATGCTCAGCTTGCTTGTTCCGTCAAGATGGATTGTTGTTCCAGTGCAACCAGATGTCCGCTGACTACCTCTTCCAACAGGATAAGCCCTACGATGTCAGCTTTGATACTGGAGACAAGGCTATCCAATGTGGACGTCATAATGATGTATTCAAGCTTTGGCTGATGTGGAAGAGCAAGGGAATGGAGGGATACCGTCAGCAGATTAACAAGTTGATGGATCTGGCAAACTATTTTACCAGGAGAATCAAGGAGACAGAGGGTTTCCAGTTGATTGTGGAGAATGTGAGTTCGATCCACACTGGGGTCAAATCTTTTTTTTTCTGAGCCCATTTCTAGCTATAGTAAATGAGTAATTCGGTAGTAAATGAGTATTTGCCAATTTCTAGCCATTGATTTCCAGCCGGAATTCCTCAACATCTGCTTCTGGTACGTCCCATCCAAAATTCGCAATTTGGAACCTGCCGAGGTCCGTGCTCGCCTTGAAAAAATCGCTCCAAAAATCAAGGCGGGAATGATGCAGAGAGGAACCACCATGGTCGGATACCAACCCGACAAACAACGTCCCAATTTCTTCCGCATGATCATTTCTAACCAGGTTTGCCGTTGGGGAACAGAAATCCAAAAAAATCGATAATTTTTAGGCCATCACCCGCGAGGACCTGGACTTCCTCATCAAGGAGATCGTCGACATTGGAGAGTCTCTTGAATAATCTTGAAAAATCGATTTTTTACTTTAATACATGCTTGCCAAGTATTGTAATCTCGCTTTTGCTTCACCAGACTAGTTGAAAAAGATCTGAAATAATTCCAAAAAGACAAACTTTCACCTAAAATTTGAATAATGATCTAAAGAAAATTGTATGCTTCTCTTGGAAATGTAAAATAAAGCTTTTGTAGTCAAGACGGTTTTTTTTCAGAATCTAGAAAAGGGAAAAAATCAATGGATTTTTCAGGAAGTCTGAAATTTGTATCAGGGTGTCCGGGCCCAAAAATCCGGGCCTATCCTATGTTGATCGAGAAGTGATTCTAAGTTTTCAGACATATACAGCTCGTCAAAATTTGTATTTCGATATATTTATGAGCCCATAATTTTGATTTTGAAGGCAGTTATCGCCAATTTCTTTCACCGGGAAAAAATTCTACTCAAAAAAAATTCCCGAAAAATCCACGTATTCTTCAAAAATCTAAAAAAATGAAACAATTTCCACGTAACCTTTTCTTCAACTCCTCACT